AATGGTGTACCATCAAAATTTGTCGATAACAAAAGTGGTACCAACAAAATTTAATGGTAACAAATAAGGTACCAACAAACTTTATTTGCAGCAAATACAGAACCAACAAAATTGAATGGCCAAAAATAGGGTACCAACAAACTTTATTGGTAGCAAATTCAGTACCAACTGAATTTAATGATAAATAATGAGGTACCAACAAACTTAATTGATTGCAAATACAGTACCAACCAAATTTAATCATTACAAACAGTGTACCAATAAAATTTGTTGGTAGCAAATATAGTATCAACTTAATTTAATCATTACAAATAGTGTACCAATAAAATTTGTACCAACAAATACTGGACCAACAAACTTTGTATCAAAAAATTCTGTACCAACAAACTTAGAAGCAACAGGTTTTGTATCAAGAAATTTTGTTCCAACAAATACAGTACCAACGAATTAGGTAACAACAAGCTTTGTATCTACAAATTCTATACCAACTGATTTAGAACCAACAAACTTTGTTCCAACAAATGTTGTTCCAAAAAATACTGCAGTACCAACGACTTTGGTACCAACAAACATTGAAGAAACAAACATTAAATCAAAAAACTTTGTACTAGCAGATAATGTACTAACAAACTTTGTATCAAATAAATGTAATAGTAACAAATTTTGTACCATCAAAATTTATTGATAACAAAAGTGGTACTAATAAAATTTAATGGCAACAAATAAGGTACCAACAAACTTCATTGGTAGCAAATATAGCACCAACTAAATTTAATGGCAGCAAAGAAGGTACCAACAAACTTTATTGGTAGCAAATACAGCACCAACTAAATTTAATGACAACAAATAGTGTACCAATAAAATTTGTTGCTAACAAATAGTATACAACCGTAAATTGGTTTGTACTTGAAACTAGTTGTACAACAACAGATCAAAATCATCATTTACAAATAAATTAGCCTAAAGAGTCCAATCATTAAAAGACAAATCATTAAAAGCAGCAGGTAACTATTGGAGAACACAGTCGATCAAACGGAGAAAATAATTAAAAGAGGAATCGAATACTTTTTCACGAAAGTTCACGACACCGGATGATGGAATGATAATATGCGTTGGTCTGAGCGAAGGGTGTATATCGCGAAACGGCTTCATCGTCATCGAATGAGGCGGGTGCCAATTAACGAAGCTCATTAATACAATCGATCTGCTGATCTCATTGGACCAGTCAATATGTGCATGTGTTCGGGAAGGAGGGGGGGGGGGGTTTGAGCACTGCAACCGGTCCTCCCCTTGATTTCGACTCTTGGAATACGCGAAAGGTATCCCTTTCGCGTATATATATATACGATCAACGCGCTCTCGGTCAAGCAGCTCACCTTTTGTTTTGTAAGTTCTTGTGGATCGTACTGGCAATCTCCTTCGCGTTCTCCGCCTCATCCACTTCTCTTTCTAACCGACCGCCTTCTTAATCTTCCTTTAATTCCTTCGCTATTCGATTCTTTACTTTTTTTCCACCCCTCCTCCGCAGCTCTTTTTTCCTCTCATTCTCCACTTTTTTCTTCTCTCCCATTTTTTTCTTTTTTCTCCCAATCTTTCTTTACTTCACTCCTTTCTTTCTTAACAATTTTTCTTTTTACTCCTTCTCACCTTTTTTTTCCTATATAACATTTCACAACAAGTTCCCTATGCTCTTGAGAACTTCTCGAGCTTTTTTAAAAGTCTCATTTTTGTACTATCCAAATTTTCTCTTATTGAAAATTTCAAATTCTTCTTATATTCGAATTATTAATTTCTAATTAATTTAATTAATCATTACTTTGCAGAATTCGAAAACAGAAAACGGAATTTAAAAATTCGTCTCTATTTTTCAGTTTGAAATAAGTAATGATGATAATTACCAGGAAAATTTTTTTTTAAATTAAGATATTTGTGGGTAAAAAATTGTCTCAGGAAGAAATGAAGAATTTATTATATGACGTTCGTGATTTCTAGTTTATATTGTTAGGCATCGACAATCGTCAAATTAACCGGTAATGTGATACATATATAAATACAAGTAGTACGAGGATAAAACTGGTCTAACGTGATTTCACTTTCTTTAAAGTTTAAAATGAATGAAAAAGAAAAAAAAATGATTATTTTCTGTTGACAGATAATATTGATCCTGTTTCTTCGATCATCTTTCGAGCATTCTAGCAATTATAATTTTTTTCTATGTCGACCGTCGACGTACTGCATAATAATATTGTCGCATAACAATCATAATTTTTGATGAATTTTACTTTTTTACTTTTCTCTTCTTCTATACATGAATTTTATTTTGTCTATTTTGATTTATTCGAATTTTCTTTTTTATTTCAATTTAATGTATATTTCATTTTGTGTTTATGTGATTTTTTTGTCTACACTGTTATAGGAAAATCTGTATTGAATTTAATAAATTGTGCATGAAGCAAATGGAAAACCATCATTGAAATTTAATATACATTTTACAGTTTTTCTAAGAATATTAAATTGAGACAAAAAATTAATTAATTTTAAAAAAAAAACAAGAAGTAGCTTTAATAGTTAAAAGTAATTTTTAAAACTAAACAAATGAAATTATTTAATAAAATTCAATTTAAATTATTCAAAGGAATTAGGAAAATAAATTAATAATTTTTTAAAGTGAAAATTTAAATGGTTATACAGTTTTATAAATAATCAATATTCAATTATTATCTAAAGTTTCAACTGAAATTCGTTTTTAAATTAATTTTTTGTTAGAAAGTTTAACTGAAATTTAAATATATAAATACAAAAACAAAATAGTTATTATCGTATCAAGGGCGCAAAATAGGTGATTGCGGCGATGGCGAGATGAAGGGACCGAGGGGACACTTTCGCACCCTCGGCTTCGCCTCGGGCGCGAAAATGTCCCCTCGGTCCCTTCATCTCGCCAAAGTCGTAATCACCTTTGCGCCCATGTTGCGAACATAATTTTTTGTCCTAACTGCATGAAAAGTATGGCATCGAGGGCACGAGCGAAGCGGGCGTAAAAGTACTTTTGCGCCCGCTCGGGCTAGATGAAGCGGGCGCAAAAGTACTTTTGCGCCCGCTTGTGTGACGTCAGCGGGCGTAAAAGAACTTTTGCGCCCGCTTCCCCGGCCCCGGGCGAGAATCAGTTACTTTGCGCCCACTTTAAGTGCCCGAAATGACATACTTTTCGTGCAGGTAGGACAAAAAATATATTGAATAATTGAATGTTTCTCAAAATTTAATTTTTATAAAGAATTTATCAATTTTTTAAAAAATAATTCAATTTTTAGAGAAGAATTTTGATAATTATGAAAATAATTGAATTTTTGCGAAGAATTTCATTTAATTTTTGTTTAAATAATTGAATTCTCGTGAAAAATTTTATTATCTGGGAAAATTAATGAATAATTGTCAAGAATTGAATAAATTTATAAATTTTTTGAAAAATAATTGAATTTCTGAGAAGAATTTTGATATTTATGAAAATAATTTAATTGTTACGAAAAATTTTATTTAATTCTTTTTAAATAATTGAATTCTCCTAAAAAATTTTATTATTTGAAAAAATAATTGAATAATTGTGAAGAATTAAAAAAAAGAACAAGAATTTATCAATTTTTTAAAAAATAATTGAATTTTTTACAAGAATTTTATTGTCTATGAAAATAATTGAATTATTATGAAGAATTTTATTTAATTCTTTTCAAATAATTGAATTTTTGTAAAAAAATTTATTATTTGGAAAAATAATTGCATGATTGTGAAAAGTTAAAAAAAAATTTTTTAATTTATCAATTTTTCAAAAAATAATTGAATTTCTGAGATGAATTTTATTATTTATGAAAATAATTGAATTCTTGCGAAGAATTTTATTTAATTATTTTCAAATAATTGAATTCTTGTAAAAAATTATATTTTTTGGAAAAATAATTTAATTCTAGTGAAGAATTATATTAAAATTTTTATAAATAATTGAATTTTTCTGAAAAATATTATTACTTATGAAAATAATTGAATTATTGCTGTAGAATTTTATAAAAAGTTTTTAAATTGATTTTTTTTTTTGAAAAAATTTTCAAAATATTCTAAATAATTAAATTCTTGTGAAAATTTTATTATTTATAAAAAATTGAATGTTTGCGAAGAATTTCATCAAACATCTTATGAGGAATTTTATAAAAATTTGTATAGATATTAAAAATCATTTATTTATTTTCGAAAAGTTTTTGAGTATAATTAAATCGTTTAAAAGAATTTTATTACAATTTTTAGAATTCTTTTTTTATTTCAACTATTAGCGTATTTAAAGTGATGCAAATTGATTACAAAAATGAAGAAAAAAGTAGTTTTTAGTTTCATAAATTTAAAAAAGTGTTCAAATAGTAGCAAATTGTAAAAAAATGTTGTAAATATAGTTTTAGTAGATGAGTGCGAAGCCTGCTTATAATTAAAAATTTCTGCTAATTTTGTAAAAATAAAATTAGTTTTTAATGTTTTTATTACTTCAGTAATTAAGAATTAATCATCATCAGTACTTTATTTTGAGAGTTGTTCTCTTTTTTGTACTTCAATTCCAAACATTGCAAACATAACCTAAAATTTATTTTTCTTCTTTGATACCTTTCTTCATCGGATATGTTAATAAATAAAAATAAATTATTCTCTAATTATTAGTAGAGAGAATCACTAATTAGTAGTAAATAAATAACTAAAAAAATAGTCAATTTTCATTAATTGAATTAGTTTACTACAAATTTCAGTCATTTTTACATAACCTAAAAGTGAATTTAACTAATAATTGATTAATTAGTCATTATTCACTATTTCATTAGTAAAATATTACTGAATCAGTGACTGACTTTTTGCTAACAAATTAGTTATTATAATTAGTTATTTTTATTTATTATTATTAGTTATTTAATTCAAATTTAGAGAGTATACAGTAAATAATAATAATTAAAAATTAAAAATAGTTCCCTTACCAATAGGCTGACTTGCTGCGTATGATCGTTGACCCAAGCTAAAATAAGATCAGCCCCCTTCATATGGCTCTTTTCATTAAAACCAATCCCAATATAACCCAAAGTTCTAGCAGTGACCTTGAACGTGACAATCTTCTCATCAGATGGATCCCATTCAAGCACAACATCTCCATTTTCATCCATTATTTCACTTCTACTGAAATTAATTTCCTCCACCTCATCTTCCTCCTCACTCCTCATTTCACTTTCCTCAAAAATAGATCTTTTACCACAATATCGACGATATCGTTTTTTAACGCCAGAGAAATATTTCTTAGGTACATGCTTCTTTAAAACTCCCCCTTTTGATGATTCCTGCGAATTGATAATTAGTCTTTCATCATCAATTTTCTCCAATGATTTTTGACCCTGTGATTCGATGGAATTAAATAATTCATATTGATTTGGTTCGGTGTTTGTCTCGTGTCTATTGGGATAATCAAGACCATCTTCTTTGAAGGATTTAGTTTTATTTTTCAATGATTTCTGCCAAGATTCATCAACATCGAGTCTTTGCTTTCTATAGTTACCGATATGGAAAAAGGGACCCTCGATGACTGATCTTTTATTTCGATTTCGGGAAATTTTCGAATGCTGCCTTTTGTATTCGGGTGTTTTCATTTCCTCGTCCATGTGCTCAACGAAAAGATCAAGGAGATCCGCACTGGTTAGACAGTGAATGGTGAATAATAAAACTACCCTGAAGATCAACATTTTTATTTTTTTTTTGGTCACTCTCACAGTTTCATTTGACACAATTATTTTTTTGTAACACAATTTTACACTTTGTATTGTTATGTAAATAACATGTTTTTATTTTTTTTAAATTATGTTTTGATTCAAGAATTTATTATCATGTTTTTGATTCAAGAGTTTTTTTTGGAAAGGGTAAATATCGCACTTGTTTTTTTTTGCAGAAGGGGAAATGGAGAGTAATTAATATTTTTATTAATATTTTAACTCGACGAGTTGGGTTTGTGATGAGGGCTCGTTTCTCATGGTTGATTCGTACATGTTGTACGCACGACAGTTGTGGCGGTACTAATTTTAAACATGCGGCCTGCCCCTGGTTGGACGGTCGAGAATACAGCAGCTGCTTACCTGGGAGCATCGGTTCGTGTGCCTTCGTGAAGGCCCGAGGGGCCCTGCCCGTTACCAATCGGTAGGCAAAGACCCCGGAGCGACCAATCAGAACGCCGTTACAGTGGAAATGTAGTGGCGCGTCCAACGCCGAAACCAACCGCCGAAATCTTTGTATATATATGTATGTACTTTATTGCCGCTTTCGTTTCAGGCTGGTTCGACAGACTAAGTGGTACGTTGGGACCCCTTCGCATATATGTGTACTAAAACTAAATGACCTACCGCGAGAGTAGGTACGCAATTATTTTGTACCGGTTTTTGTTTTGTTTTTGTTTTGAAGGCACCTCTATACCCAAAAGGTAATTGTATTTCGGACTTTAAAACTGATGATGACGTTCTGCGGGGTTTCTAACAAATTGTTACTCTTACACGAAATATGAAGAAGAAAAAAAAGATAAAATATTAACAACATAAATGTGACTTTTATAATTTACGGACATTGTTCTTAAAAAAAATGTAATTCGTTCCGTAGATTAGAAATTTTCAATTATACCCACATCACTTTCCTTCCTGCATATTTAGTGCGATAACCGCATAAGCGATCGGTGGTAATGGCAATAAAAAAAGAATTTTAAAATTAAAAAAAAAAGTTACAAAAAATGATAAAAAAAATTCTATTTAGTTAAATAATAATTATTAAATTAAAATAGTAATAAATAGTACTACAAGGAAAAAAATGTTAAAGTAATTGTTGAGCTGAATTTTCTACTCACTTCGAGATTTTATTCCTTCGCAGTAAAATACACGGAGAGACCGAGATTACTAATTTTTGTATAAAATCACACTAGAATTTACTATATTCACATTGCAACCACCGGAAATAAGGGGACTTTTTGTATTTTTTACTATTTTCTACACTAAGTCACTAATCCCGACAAATGTTCACCAAATTAGCAAAGTTTCTTACTATTTCGTCCAATAGTTCCAAACAACTGTAGTAAAACTCAGAAACATTGTGTACGTAAAATTACTATAGTCGTTGTAAATGCAGAAAGAAAGAGTGAAAAGAAAAAATACGGATTTTTGTCGCCGGTTTCCCGTCAATTCTTGACTAGTGGAGGTAAACTGGAAGGATTTTTACATACACAGACACACACACTCACACACTTATATATTTGTTGTTGGATAAATATTTGAAGACACACACATGTTTATTTCACTTATATGTATAGACGCGGTTAATTAATACACTAATACACAACTGCACGCACGACAACGAATTTCACTGAAAGTATACATCTTTGTTTCCTTATATATTGAATGATGAAAATTTACAGCACTTACGAGAAAGCAGTTTACTTTTAACAACTTATTATAAGACATACTTCTTGGGACAGGAATAAATGCAAAATTTATTAATTTATAATGGTCAATTTCTGAGATACCGAACGACCTACGTTTCACTTTATATTTAATTATTGTAGATAATATCCAAATTTATTTTACATACGCGAAACATAGTCACTGTCAATGATCGGAAGGCATCGGCTCATTTACGGAGATTGACGAGGTTAGCAACCAATAGAAATACAGGCGCCATATGACTGCACTCGCTAGCCACACTTGCTCACCAAAAATTACTACAGTGGATAGAAGATTTTAGTGGAAAATGTTTTCATTTGTCAGATTTTGTCTAATTAAATTAGAGAAAACTATAATCAATTTTCGCTACATTTACAACTCTTACACAAAATATTAAAACTTGCTATTTCAATGTAGCAAATTTATCTATTTCTTTTGTAAATTTATCTAATTCTGTAGTACATTATGCTAAAAGTCCCCTTATTTCCGGTCATTGCAACCGTTTTTAGTAATTTTTACGAATGTGGGTCTCTCCGTGTAATAATTTAATAAAATAGCAAATAATAATCCTAGTAATTTAGAAAATAAAAATAGTAAAATAGTAAAAAAACAGTAAATAGTAAAAAAAAGTAAAGTAAAAGTAAAAAAAAGTAAAAATAATAAACAGTAAAATAGTAGAAAAAAATAGTAAATAATAATAATTTAGAAAATAATAAATAGTATCTAAAATAATAAAAAAGAACAGTAAATAGTGAAAAATAGAAACAACAATATTTCTTCTTCATTTTGGAAGATAAGAAAAAATTTTCCCACAAAAAATTCGTGTATATCCCAAGAAAATAAAATTTTCTTTTCTCCCAACAATTTTTTCTTTTAAATTTATAATTTTTCTGTTCTTCAAATTTTTAAAAAATATTTACTCTTTTTTTCCAAGAATTTTTTCTTTCAAATAATAATTTTTTCATTCTCAAAATAATTTTCTCGTTTGCCAAAAGAAATTTTTCTTGAAATAATAATTTTTTATTTCTCCCAACAATATTGTATTGTTCAAAAATTTATTTTTCCTTTTTTCTAGACAATTTTTTCTTTTAAATTATAATTTTTTCGTTATCTGCAAATTTTCAAAAAACAAAATTTTTCTTCTTCCCCAACAATTTTTTCTTTCAAATAATTATTTTTCTTTTCTCCAAACAAATTTTTTATTCATAATTTTTCTGTTCTCCAAACAATTAATTCTTTCAAATAATAATTTTTCTTTTCTCCCAACAATTTTCTTCTTTCAAAAACTAATTTTTCTTTTCTCTAAACAATTTTTCTTTCAAATAATAATTTTTTCGTTCTCCAAACAATTTTATCTTCAAATAATAATTTTTCCTTTCTCCCAACAATTTTCTTCTTTAAAAATTAATTTTTCTTTTCTCCAAAAAATTTTCTCTTTCAAATAATAATTTTTCCGTTCTCTAAACAATTTTGTTTTCAAATAATAAATTTTAACGTTCTCCAAACAATTTTTTCTTGAAATAATAATTCTTTTCTCTTAATAATAGTAAAAAAAATAGTAAATAATAATAATTTAGAAAATAATAAATAGTAAATAATAATAATTTAGAAAATAATAAATAGTAAAATAATAAAAAAAAAACATTAAATAGTAAAAAATGGAAAAATCGATTTCTTCTTCATTTTGGAAGATAAGAGGAAATTTTCCCACACAAAATTCGTGTATATCGCAGAAAAAGAAATGTACATATTTATGATGGGGAGGGAGGGGACCCTTATGGTCAAAGAAAAACAGACATTTTCCAAAAACTTAAGAGAAATAGAAACAAGAAACGTATATCGCTGGCTTTTTATCTTTGAACTTTAAACAGTCGAGAAAATTTTGAAAACAAAATTTCTAATTAATTTGGCAAAATTTTCGAAAAAAAATAATAAATAGTAAAAATAGTAAAGAAAATAGTAAACAGTAAAAATTGTAAATAATAACAACAATTTGGCATATAATAAATAATAAAAAAAATAATAAAATAGTAAAATAATAAAAGAATAGTAAATAGTAAAAATAGTAGGTAAAAAAATAGTAAAAAATAGTAAATAATAATAAATAGTAAATACGTAGTAAGACATTGTAAATAGTAAATAGTAACATAGCATAAAAACAGTAAATAGTGAAAAATGGTAAATAATAAAAATAATTTAGTAAATAATAAATAGTAATATAGTAAAAAAATAGTAAATAGTAAACAATTGTAAATAATAATAATTTAGCAAATAATAAATAGTAAAATAGTGAAGAAATAGTAAATAGTCAAAAATTGTAAATAATAATGTTTTAGCAAATCATAAATAGTAAAATAGTAAAGAACTAGTAAATAGTAAAAAAAGAAAATAGTAAAAAACTGAAAACAATAGTAAATAAAAATAACACCTGCAACGAAGTTTTTGGAAAAATTTTAAATAAAGTAAAAATATGATGTACATATCTGAAAAATGTCTGTTGCAGGTAAATAAGAGTAAACGCATCTGTGGAAAAGATGGTCCATGAAAAATTTAATACGGTTTCAGTTTAAATTTGGGTATTTCTTGAGGTTTTTAGCTTCAGAATTTACAAAAATTTTTTTTTCTCTTTCAAGGAGAAGTTTCAATATTGGGCGGGGAGAAATACTAAAAATTGTCTACGGTTCCAGCTAGAAGCTTAACATGTGGTCTGCGAGAATATCAATGTAGTGCACTTCTCAATATTCCCAACAGGAAACTCGATTTTATTTTCACATAACAATTTTCTAAATTAGTGTAAATAGAAGATTTTAATTAGCTGGTAAACTTTTTCTCTATGACTGTCTATTTTATCTTTTTTGTTTGTATCACTAAAATTGATTATTTTTTACTATATTTTGTATTTTTTGTTTTCATTATTAATATTTATTAATTTTTACTATTTTTAGTATTTTTTGTTTTCATTATTAATATTTATTAATTTTTACTATTTTTCGTATTTTTTGTTTTCATTATAATAATATTTATTAACTTTCACTATTTGAAATGTAAAATCTAAATTGTTTGGAATTTTTGTAGTTTTCGTCAATTTTTACTATTTTAACTATTTTACAAAATATATTAGTAAATTTTGTCAACATTCGAAGTGAATTTTAGTAATTTTTTTTATTCAAATTTACTTTCATGAAAAAAATGTAGAGTAACTTTTAAAAATTCTGGAGTAAATATTTTCAGCGCTAAAGTAAACTTTATTAAATTTTACTAAAATTTACTTCCATGGAAAGAAATGCAGAGTAACTTTTAATAATTCCGGAGTCAATTTTTTATGATGAAAGTAAATAATGCTAAATTTTTATCAAAATTTACTTTCCGAAAAAAATATACAGTAACTTTTACTATATTTACAATGTAAAACTTCAGCTCTGAAAAATTCTCTCTTTAGACAATTTTTGCTAATTTTTGTAGTAAAATTTACTTCCATAAAAAAAATGTAAAATAGCTTTTTGTACTTCTGGAGTGAAATTTTTGACAGTTGAAGTAAATTTTACTAATTTTTAATTAAAGGTGGTGAATTTAACAAATTTTACTAATTTTTATTAAAATTTACCTTCTTAAAAAATAT